GCATTTAGCCATGGGGTGAACTGATGAGGGCTGACACTTTACCCGTCAATCTCTGAGAGAGAGAGGGAGAGAAAGGGAGAGGGGGAGAGAGAGAGAGAGATAAACCCAGTGATGAACGCTCAGACAACCCCTTACCGCTGCCTGACTGCTCCCTTCAGCTCCACTTAGCCACAGAGCCGCTGTGTCTGTGTGTGTCCGTCACTTAGCGCCGTCTCTTCAGTGTTTGTTTGAGACTGTCTGTCCCTCTGTCACTTAGGCCCTGTCTCACCAAACCCTTCAAAGTGTGTGTGTGTGTGTGTGTGTGTGCGCGCACATAAGTGTGAGTCTGTCTACCTGCCACTTACACCATGTCTATCTACCATGCAAAGGTAGGTAGGTAGGTGTGTGTGTGTGTGTGCAAGAATGTTAAAGTGTGTATGTCACTTACACCCTGACTATTTAAGCACTTGAAGATAGGTAGTGTGTGTGTGTGTGTGTGTGTGTGTGTGTGTGTGTGTGTGTTTGAGTTTCAGTTAAGATGAGACTGTGAAGGTGTCTGTGTGTTTGTGTCTACCTGTGACAGGCCTGACAGCCATCTTATTTACACCTATACCAATTTCTACAAGCTCTCAGCTGGACTAGTGTGATCGGTGTGTGTGAGAGAGTATGTGTGTGAGAGTGTGTGTGAGAGTGTGTGTGTGTGTGCGACAAGAGTGTGTAGGACCAGATATAAGCTAGACAGAGTTGACAGCCATCTTATTTAACCCTCTGTCCCTGTGTGTGTGTGTGTGTGTGTGTTGCAATACTAGACTTCCTATAACAGTTGGTCTCAGTGCACCGCGGTGTCTCACTGCACTATAGCGTCTTTGTCAAAGTGCAAATCAGCTGCTAGGTCTCGTCTCCGAGCTTCTTCTGGGATTTAACCATCTGCCGCCGCTTTTAGTTTAACCTAACTCTGATTCATTTCACTCTTACTCTGGAAAACATGAAAAATAAAAATGAGCAGGGAGAAGAGAGAATGTGAGCGGCCGAAAGCTGCTGTGATAAAACACGCCATCGATGCTAAGCCATTTTTACAGCAGGCCCATGGTTTTTAGTGATCAAATAAAAAGGACCTTTTAACTTTTATTTGGTCTCAGCGGCAGAGGGGAACATATGGGAACAATGGCAGCACAGTGTAAATCTAGCAGCCCGTTAGCTCTGCTCAGCTACTGAGGGTATAAGTTTTCAGGGCAGAAGACGAACAGAGCTCATGTTACTTTACACAGTCAGAGTGACGTGATGAAACGTTTGGACTTCCATGCATTTTTTTTTCCTATCTTCAATTATGACAAAGTTCACGTTCCAATGTTCAAACTATTCATTTTATATTATTCTGACGGCACCTGTGAGCCGTTCATGAACCACCTTTAGTCCTTATCGGTTACTAAGGTCTGAATGCACCTTCATTACACCTCTCTAGAGCTGCAACAATTAGTTGATCAATCAATTAGGAAGAAGAAAAAAAACAAATTTGCAACTTTAGCATTCTGCTTCTGAAATGTGAGAATTTCACTCAGATTTGATTGTGAACTGAAAATCTTTGACTTTTGGTTGATTTGAACAAATCTCCTTGGGCTGTGGAAAAATTACAAAATATATATTGTACTATTTTCTGTCATTTTCTACCAGTGTTTCCCCTCAACACATTCAGCAGCAGCTAATATTCACAACGATGCGTAACCACCGCTTGTACTTGTACTTGTACTGTCTACACTACAGAAGGTTAAAATAAATTACACTAACTCATGTTGAGGGAGAAACCATCAGTGGAAAAAGTCCAACAATCGGCCGCTCGACCGATGATGCAACTCCATCCCTGAATCACTCACTAACTTCATCACTCACTCAGTCACAGACATTCATGTCATTGAGGTCCCGCCGAAAACAATTCAAAATAACAAAAACAATACATTTTTTTTCAATTAGCCACTTAAAGAGGAAAATGATGCTGTTTTTTTTTTTATTATTATTGATACACATGTATATCAACCTACATATCTGTGGTGTGTTCACTGTGAGTACATGTGTGTCCTGTTTCCTGTGTGTGTGTGTGTGTGTGTGTGTGTGTGTGTGTGTGTGTGTGTGTGTGTGTGTGTGTGTGTGTGTGTGTGTGTGTGTGTGTGTTTCCACTGCTTTTACCTGTCCCTCTAAGCAGTCTTGGCAGGCCAATCTAATCTGGCCAGGGAAAGGTCAGCCCCACTCTAACTGCCTTTCACTCACGTTATGCACCAACCCCCCCCCCCTCTTTTTTTCCTTCACCTCTCTTCCTCTTCATTTCTCCTTTCCTCACCTCCTTTTCACTCCTTTTTTTTTTGGTATCATCACCTTTATTCTTTCACATTTCTCCCGTCTGCCCTCTCTCCACTCTTCTTCACTCCCCTTGCTTTCTGTGACAGTTTCCTTCTTTACTTCCTTTCCACCTTTTATCGCTCTATTTTTCTCTCTACTCATGTATCACCTGTTCTCTCTCTCTCTCTCTCTCTCTCTCCTGTACCAGTCCTGCTCGATGAACTGTTTCCTCTCTTTTCTGCTAGATAGGACAGGATCAATACTCACACACACACACACCATCTCCTACACAGCCGTCCTGGTCTGTCTCATTATCATAACCAACTCCTGAATTATTGTTAACTCTTAACATGCTAACTACACGTTTTATCGTCCGGGTTACATGCTTCATGACGGCGACACAGGAGACGCTCAATTTACATGCATGTCACCACAACAACACTACAAGCGCAGATCTGAGGAGACAGGCGGGATCAAAGGACTCATCAGGCTGACTGGGAGCCCAGATCAGCCCATCGACCGACCTCGGCGACATCCTGTTACCATAGCAATTATCAGGACCCCCTAAGACGCAGAGGAGAGGGGTGTCAAAGGTCATCGCACTATCTTTCTGCCATTTACAGGTCACGGGGAGAGAGGGAGAAAGATGGGGGAAAGGGACACAGACACAAAGACATGAGACGGCCATCTTTGAAGTCCGTTTACAAAGAAGAGATTTCTCCTCGTTCTCGATCCCTCTGGGCCATCTCAACCTGCAATAATCCCCCTCTTCTTCTGCTCTGTCTCTCAGGACGGCCTCATATCAAACCTCAGGATCTGTCTGTCTGCCTCTCCATCTGTCTCTCTGGTGCTACACTCGGATCAGATCGGCTATTTTTGTTCCGGACTTCAATTACGGTTTGTGTTTTCAAGCCCGGCGAGCACTTTGTGTTCAGGAGTTTCTTTTCCCATAATTTACTGATTAACGGAGGATTATTTTCATAGTTTTGGCCATCACTCTTACCAGTAATAACACTGTACTCACCAAGTTAGGAGCTGAGATGGTGCTGAAACTATTAATTGATTAATTAAAAAGCAGTTGGCCTTTTTTGTGCCAAGTATCAAACGGTATCAAATGCAAATGAGACATCACGATCTTGTTCGCTTGTTGTGTAATTGGACGGTTCCTGATTCACGACTAAATTTAGACTATTTTTTTTGTGCAGGCAAAGTTTTTGTGATGCTGCTCATGTGCCACTTGAGAACGTATGCTACTTCTGTTAAATGAAATTCATGTTCATGCAGAAAAACATATCTAAATATCTTAAAATAAAGTATTGTTTAAGTACCAGGGTCAAATCTTCAGTCTCATATTGGCACTAGTATCATAAAGGTGTAAAACAACACCCTGTCCTATTATAAACACAAGAAACCACATTTTTTCTTTAATATACAGTCATTTTAATGTATCCTGAAAAGTTATGGAGTAAAATCTAGTTACTTTCCAGCTCATGAAACAGAGACTTAGTCCACTAGACAGATAAAGAAAGCTCTCTGTCTGTGCTGTGAGGGTCCTTTCAACCTGCCTAAGCTGGTGCGAGACACAGGGAAGTCTTCCCTCACACCGAGTTGAATCATAAACTGATCTTGTTCGATTTTTTTCCCCCTCTCCCTTCCTCCCACCCACCCTCCCTCTCTCCCCCTCTCCCTTGAAGGGGCCTCGTTCCCTCTGCCTTTCTTCCTCGCGGTCTCAAAGGGAGGGAATGATGGTGGCACTTCACAGAGGGATAGGCCGTCTCTTCATCCCGCCAGCTGAGGAGACCCCCTGCAACATCTCTATATCCGTCTAGCCTGCCGAGAGCCCGCTGGATTCAGCGACGCGTGTTAGAACCACCGAGGAGCTTTCAAGACAAAATCCACCTTCTGAGCCTTCTGCCAAGTGTGTGTGTGTGTGTGTGTGTGTGTGTGTACGTTTCAAGTGGCTCTCCCCAGGCCACCTCAGTTATCTGTGTCACATCACAAGGTGCCCTATTAGAGCGCGGCAGAAGGGTCCTGTGTCTGCTCGTTTAACGATGTGAAAGAGAGATGGACGGATGGAAGCGGCGTCGGGGAGATGGATGGACGGGTGGAGAAGCCACCTCCCACCCCACGAGCTCCTCTTTGGCGCGGTTTAGTTGAGATTTCAACATTGATCTGTCTTGTCTCCTCTCTCTCTGGCTTGCAGAGAGGGAGGGGAAGGGGGGAGAGAGGGAGGCAGGTGAGGCTCAGCGTGTGTGTGTTTAACAACGGATCGAACAGGGAGAGGAGGAGGAAAGCAGGAAGAGGGACAGATGAAAGCAAAGGCAGAGCCGAGAGAGTCTGAAAGAGCCTCTAAAGAGATGACAACAACTCTTCACCTCCATCTGTGCACTTCTTGATGGCTCGCCTCCATCTCGCCGTCTCCACGTTTTACACACGAACACAACTGAGGCCGCGATGGGAGGCCGGTGTGGCGCACAGGGCAGTTCAAAAACATACAACTGCATGTATCCCAACAATTAAACAGAAATAAAAATCTGCTTTCTTTAAAGGCACATTAGTTGGCTTGGTCTTAAACGGTTCTTGTAGCAAGGTCAAGCAAACAGAGGTGGACTTTTACCCAAGAAATGTTTAAAACTCAACACACATGATTGTAAGTAATGTTATTAGAGCAGCTACAACTCATTGTTTTGCATTACTGTACTGTTGTACTGCACAAAACTCTGTATTTGTTTCATATGGAGCAAAATGTGACTGAAGTATTGAAAACACACTCAGATTCATACTCTACTTATTCTTTTCATAAGACAGTTCTGGATTAAAATCCTTTTGCTTTGCCAATTTTAGATTATTTCGTTGAGGGGAAGTTGCTTGTGTAACAATATTTGTATTTGAAACTGTGGTTGAAAAACAGGAAACACAGATCTTGTATCAGCACTAATGTTGATGACAATACCCAGCCCTTCTTATACTTGTGGAATTTACGCATCCTTGCATATGTTGCTGAAGTAATTAACTAATAATCAATTAAGCAATTTAAAGGGCCTACTGAAAATTAATCAACAAGGTTGACGGCAGTTAATCGTTAAACACCGTGTCGACACTAGAGACACAGCGTGAGCAGCAGCAGCAGCTTCACTGCTCCATCTGTGTCTACTCACGATGTGTTCAGGTACAGTCCTGAGTGTCGGTTTTGGAAGCGCTCAGTTTCCCAAGGCCACAAGTGACATGTTCACATTTCTTACTTTGTTTGACCAAAAACCAAAGATGTCCAGTTTCTACTCTATATATGAACAAAAAGTGGAAAATCTCCATATTTAAAAAGTGGGAACCAGCAAATTTTGCTTATAGTTGCCGATTAATTTTCTTTGATGTTATATTCATTCGGACACATTCCCACAAAGAGCGATCAGCTGTGCCCATGAGAAGATTCAGACTATTATAAATAGATTATTATAAATTAAACATATTGAAACTACAAGTCTGAGAAGAGAAAGAGACAGTGACAGAGTGAAGAGGGAGCACTGCAGGTGTGTAGTGTCACACAGCAGCTGCTGTGCTCCCCAGTGACCAGCTCTCCCATCCACTTCTATAATTGCATTCCTGGGCTCACACACACATACACACAAACACAGACTGGTGACCAGCGGGTCAATTGCCCAGCTAAATGTGTTTTCCTTCCCCTTACTAAGAGGGTTGTGTAGGGCCGAGCCAAGCTGAGCTGGGCTGACCCCGGGCAAACCCACTCTGCCACAAGACCACAGGCACCATTACAGCTCCCTGGTCAACACTGGTCTCACAGAACTAACACTGCTCACAGTGGACAGGAGCAGAGGAGATGATGGATGAGCAGAGAAACAAAGATGGAGACAGGCAGACAGTGAAAAAAGGAAGGAGAGAACAAACAGGGAGCTGGGCTGATCCTGTCTACACACTTCAAACTGCTGTTGACTGGACACGACCGTGGAGCCGTGACAGGTCAGTCAGTCATCTAACAAGCCGGCGACTGGACACCTACATCATCACACAGCGCACACACACCTGCACTGACAACAGTGCTGCTTCAGAAAGTGACAGGACAGATGGGAGAGACAACCTCCCTCCAGAAGCAAAGCGATCATTTGAAACACAACCGGCGGGTGTTGTATGTGGTGAGGTGAGCGTGTTTGTACCTCTGAAGCCTCCCTCCAGCAAAGCTGTAGCTCTGATCCTCTTCTGCCCCGCCCACTCGTACTCCTCAAAGCCCCGCCCGTTCTCTCCGTCCATGTCTGCGGAGTCATCGTCTAACGCACCCTCGCGCTGACACACAAACACAAGCACACATTAATTACAGAAAAAAAAATACATAGATAAAAGAAAGAGGTAATGTTTTTTTTAACTGTTGTAACCTACAGTATATGATTTTAGTGTGGGGAGAGAGCACACTTGCACACCTGTACTGTACCAAACCATGTGGAGCTGTGATCAGGACCTGAGCTGTTGGCATGCTGAGGAAATCCAAAGGATAAGAATGTGCAAAGGGAAAAGACACAGCTTATCTAAAATCGCATGTTCAAAGTTTGAGGTGTTGAACATCTCTAGCTGTTTTCTTTTTCTTTGGTAGCATTTTAAAAAGGAAAGAAAGGAGACTGTTTGCTCAACAGCTTTGTTTTGCTGTGCTTGTTGTAACTATAATGAAGTCTACTCCACCCTGGAACTGTCTCTAATTGATCGGCCACTAAAAACAATATGCTGACAAATGTCCAAACTGTGTTTCACACGACTTTTACTGAGCGAAGCGTTAGCCCTGTGTGGACGATTTAACACTTCCTGCAACTGCTTCATAATAAACCCCTTTGAGAAGTTTAGGGAGGATTCAATTCTTTAGCCAATTATGCTTTTTTGACAGATTGATTATTTTATAAATTCAGCTCATGATTCTTGTTTCTTAAAACATTTTTCAGGATTTAAAAAAAAGAAAGAAAAAAAGACACCACAGCTACATCATTTGCAGGAAGAAAGGCGCACTAAGCCTTGCCTAACAAGACATTTCAGCCAATGAGTTAAAAAAAAAAAAAAAGTGATGGAGGCAGTTATATTTTAGGTCTGCCTGTAATCCGGAGCCACACAGTGTGGTGCAACACTGATCAGCATGGTAACAGCTCCCGTGGCAAGGTGCAGTACTGGAACAAAGAAAGTGTGCTACTGAAAGAGAGGTATTAGTGTCTCTACGGCTATAATGGACAGTAGTCAGCGAGGTGAGATACAGGAGGAGTGGTGATTAGTGGAGAGGACTTTTTTTTTTTTGGTCATTGGTCTACCCTAAAAGAAAGAAGGTATCTCCTCAGGAAAAAAAAAAAAGGCCACTACAAAGAGGAGAGGTGCCCCACAGCGACAGGAAGAGACTGTCACTGGTTGGACATATTTTTGTGTTTGGGCTACGTCTACTGCAAGCAAAGTCTGACTGGCCCCAAACTACGGAAACTACAGATGTGATTGTTAAGCTCACGCAGGAGGAACATGCCAATGAATATGATGCAGACATGTCATATGGGATAAACCGCAGATATATGAGCTACTTACTTACTCTGATTTATTGTAAATGCAAAGTTTGAAGTGGTAAGCTGGATAAATTTAGTGAATGCAAACAACTGTGTAAGTTAAGTAGATAAATATGAGTTAAAAAGGCTTAAAAATGACACAGCACTGCAATCATCCAGTGATCATTATGCTTGTTTTCATGAAGGGAATTAGCATGTTTAGTTAAGCTTAGTTAATCACTCATTTAATATGTGTTTAATTGAAAAAATAATAATAATAATAATAAGTAAAATTTCTTCTATGTCCAAATTGAATTATGCCAATAAAACTGACTCTGAAAAGTGAATGAAAATTAAACATGTAAAAATGTCTGTCATGTGTTCTCATATGTTGTTTTCCAGTCTTGCAGACAGTTATTCCCATATGATGTGAATGCAGAACCGCCGTTTTCAGAAAGTCAAGAGGTGGTCAGTGTCTAGATGGATTATTACTGTTGCTACAGGTCGGCATCTTCACTACAGTACAGAAGTGATTGGACAGCGTCTACAGGAAGTAAAGAGGTGACTGGTCAGCATCTACAGGAAAGGAAGGGTTGATAGGCTGTCCAGACTGGCGGTAGGCGGGGGGTGGGGTGGGGGTTCGGGGCCCGGATTGTACTACCTGGATCAGGCATTGTTCCACATGTCTACTCATCTCCTCCTCGCTCCCAGCCAATGGGGCGCTGCACAGCGGACATACCTGGCCCCCCTCCTCAGGCTTCCTCCTCTTCATCTTCCCTATACGGGCTGGAGGGAAATCAAAGAGAAAGAGAGACACACAGGCAAACTTTTAATGTCAAGTTAGTTTTAAATGACTATAAATATTTAAGTTTCCCCACATGATGATATCACTTGTTTCAAGGCACAAGAGATAATAAAAAGGGCTTGAGGGGAGTTCACGTCAGATGAATGTGTTCCTTGATTGCATGTAATATAACTCCCCAACAGGCCTGTCCTCTATTCTCACTTCTGTACAAGCCTACGAGCACGAGAGAGGGCTGAGCGGGCTAAACTCGGCCCCTCCTGAAATGTGTTAAGAAACAAATGACAAGCGCTAGATGTGACGATCTCAGTCCTCTTCTCTAATGCCACCCCTCTCCCTCTGTTTCTTCCTCTTTTCCTCTCCTCGCCTCTTGTCACAGCTCCCCCCTCCCCCCCCAAACCACACACACACACGCACACACACACACATTTAATTAGAAATTTAACAGAGCAGAACAGCCGTCATTGCGCCCCGAGTCTCTGTCGTTTTTTCTTAACTGCAAATGGTGCATGGGGACATTAATTTTTAGCTGGCTGGGAAAGCAGAGGATGCCAAGAGGGACTGTGGCGAGCGACAGAGGGAGAGGAGGAGGAGGACATAAGGCAATACGCCATTACTGCAGGAGGAGAAGATGGAGGGAGTGAGGCTGGGAGGGTTAAAATGAGAAACAGCCTCCCCCTCCTCCTCGCCAATTCTCCCCCTGACGCTAATCGAGGGGAGCGTTGTTAAATACAGAAAGGAAAGGGCTGCTAATTAGGTCCGGCAGGGATCTCTGCCCTCCCTCAGCCGTTATACCGCACATGAGAATGATTCCTGGTTCCGCATGAGGGAAGAGAGAAAGTAATGGAGGGCGAAGTTTAAACTAAGTCTTCTTCAGCTCCAGTCACGGGCTCTGACTAAAGGCAAGTTATCTGTGCGATGCTTCAAGACTAAAAAGAAACAACACTGTAAACTGGCACTTGTGTTAAATATCATGGAGCTTAAACAGGTCTCTGTTCAACCTGAGGAACGTATTACCCAGGCTCATGGAAACACAAGACGAAGCGGCAAGGCTACAGACAGGGTCTTGTGCTAAAGGGAATATCGAGGATCACCCTTACTTTGTAAATAATGATCACTACCGATGACAAGGTGCTAAAAAATAATATGTATTAATAATATGTGATTTACAGTCACCAAGAGGGGACAATAATACAAGGTGCTTACAGGAATATAAACTGTAGTGTAAGTGGTTTCTGTTGCTCGAATTAGCATCGTACGACGTGGCTTTTTCACAGCTGAGATTTTGCCTTGTCACAGTAGGAATTTATGAAGTCTTCAATGATGCTTCACAAAACCTTGGAAAACTCTGGTGTGTGGGCTGTAGTGTAACTGGTCAAGTTAGCACCAGTTTTTTTTTTTATTATGCAGCTGGCTAGAAACTCAGAAGCCTTTAATTCAAAAAGTTCCTCCTGTTGGACTGTTTTACTTTTCCCAAAAGTATCTCAGAGCTTAGCTCCAGTTTGTGCCTCTCATGATACCATTATATTAGAGTCACTTCTTTTCTTTCACTGAAACATGCTAACCAGTTAGCCCCAATAGATGGACCGCCTCACCACTTTCCAATCCTGCCACGAATACTGCCCTGAAGAAGTATTTGGCTGAAGCTCTTGCCAAAACTGGTGAGTGAACAGCTGTTAATGCTAACGCTGGCTATGTGGCAACAGCAAAACTTACAAAAAGCTCCTTTGATTAAATAAAATGTGGAGGCAATACATGAAAGGCACAAACTGGAGCTACTGTGGGATAACATGTTTTTGGCATAAAAGACAAAACAAAAAGAAAACATGCTACATGAAGTTCATCAGGCCCTGGATCAGGCATAAACACCAATCACGCCACACACTGAAAGCTTCCAGTACAAAACACTTATTGTCACCGCTGATAACTGGGTTGATGTTTCAATAACGCGGATGTTACTGATACTGATCAACAGAAAAACCTTCTGTGACAGCCACAAGTGTCGTCACATGACACCATCAGTGAGGGGTGATGATGGGACATATATAGTATAATAGTAAAACACACCAGCTACCATCATGCAGCCAAACTGCATCACTAACTAATTTAGTCTCCTGAGCCTCGACACCGGTGATATCATGTTTCTCAGTCATTTGTGGTGATGATAAGTAATTATTAGATTGTTATATCCATTTAAACTGATGGAAATTTACTGCTAAATATATAAAATGTACACTTTATATAGCACTGTATATCTATTTTGCTTTATTTTCTATAGTAATCTACTTTATCTCAAGTAAATTCTAATATTTCTCTAGTTATTCAATGGCCAAAAACCAAGTCTGAGAACAATAATAAACTCTTAATAAGAACATTAAGATGAAGTGACTGCGTTGTACTGATATGATGTAAATGAAAAGCAACATTAAGTGTCACTCAGGAGATGAGACGATGTGTGCACATACCATTCAATCTTGTTTGCCTGTTTGCCCGAACTCGTAAAAATGTCTGCAAGAAAGAAGAAAAAAAGAGGAGAGGAAATAAACATTAGATACCAAAGAAACATTATTAAATGTTTACGAGGACAAAGATAACTTTTCAGAGTGAGATTGCTTTGGATGCTGAGAGGCTTGTGTAGAGGTGACTGGGGCACTGTAAACAATTAAACCTACTTCTCTCTTGTTTTCCAGCTCCTCCATAACCTGTCGGCTTTCCGCCACAGCTCCTTCTACAGCCGCTAAAACTCGCTGCTGTAAATAACCCGGGTGTGTCTCCAGATACTCTACATCGCTGCAAACTAACGCTTGTGTCTAATATTTAATACGGATGGAAAAGGATTGAAAGTGGCGCCCGTATCGGCAAAAAACTACTCACAACCGACGCCATGTTGGCTTGTTGTGATCATGTGACGCGCTAGAGGCGGAAGTGGGGAAACGTCACATGTTGTTCCGGATGTCGGCCGCTGGGGGGAAGCAGCGGGTTTTATTAAGCACTTTCCTTTTCAGTAGTGCGTTTAGTGTGTCCATACAGACTACATTAGATACACAACTATTGTACTACTACTATAAATAATACTGCTTATATAAGCTTATACAAAAGAATGAGAAGATTTTGCCCTAAAAAAAGATGTTACTAAGCTTGATAATTTGGTGTTTTTTTGTGGAAATGCTCCAATTTTCACTCTTAAAGAGTAGTTTCCTGGTGGTTTCTACACATATTTAGCTTTTTTTTCTTCCTGTGTGCGGCAGATTATTTAGCTTTGTGACAGTTACTAATCAAACAAGTCCTTATTATGCAACTGTAAGTGGTGGAAGAAGAAGCAGCCTATTCTTATCCTTCCAAACCAACAATGTAAAAATGCTGCATTCAAAATTCTATTTAAGTACAGATTTATCTACATAATTACCAGAAAACTGTGCTTGTGTATCAAACTTAAAAGTACTCATTTATGCAAAAAAAAAAAACATATCAGATATTGTTTTAACTACTTTATATACAGTTCGAAGTCCAGTGGTTCCCAACATAAGGGTTGGGCCCTCTTCATATATCTGGGAAGTTGTGAGAAATGAATGGGGAAGGTAAGAAGGAAAAGTTCTGCTACACAAATTTGTATTCATTTTACATTTTTGGGTCTTGAATGTAACAAGAAGCCTCAACCATCTACTGTTTAATGTAAAATCTGCAAAGCAGCTTGTAAATACAACTGTCGAATAAAGGTAGAGGATTAAATAGTACAGCACAAATGTGGTGGAGTAGAAGTATGAAGTAGGATAAAATAAAAAGTACCTAAAAATTCAGATACTATCCACTGGCATTGGTGCTGTACACAAGTGAATCTGTAACATTTGGGGTCTACAGTAGTTCAGGATGCCTGGGGTAAATTCCTTGCATGATTAAAAGCAACGGTCGTAACAATAAAATTATAGCATTATGAAATAAATTAAGCGAGGTCAGATTTCTTCATCCTCTCCACCCCTGTCTCTTGCAGAATGTACGCCTCAGGTCTGCAGGGATTCAAACCCAGAGGCCCGCATGTCTTTAGCTATATGTGCTGACTAAAGCACCCCCAGCTGCAGTTATGGATGCCCTCTCTTTGACACGGCAACAGTGAGTAGGCAGCAGTTCAGTCCTCTCACCGCCGGCCCATCGTCCATCAGCGAGAGCCGTCAAGCGGCCAGGGCCTCCTCCTCCTGATCTGGCCCTCCATTCATCTCCTCACTGCTTCCCTCTCTTCCCTCCTCTCCCCTCCCTACCTGCACTTGAGTTATAGGCCCACTTGCCATGCATCGCCACTACTACCGTATCATTATGATACACTCACTGAATGGCTGCAAGATAGGTCAGGTTTTTAGAAGATGGGAAGAGGCAGAGAGGAGAAGAGCACTGAGACGGACTGACAGGCAGAGAGGAGGTGGCCAGTCTGCCATTATGCTTCATTTTCAGGGTGTTAAAAAGAGTCACCATTGACTTAATCATTTGTATAATATAAGGTGATTTCAGCAGTTTCACTTAATGAGAAAATCTACTTTATCGCTATAAGGTCTTTATGAGCTGTGTCATCCTGAACGTATGGATGTAACGTCTGCATGGACTTAATAGTTCTTATTTTATGGTGTAAGGGGGGAAACCCACTTAACCCAGAGATACATCATGGCTGGAAGAATTACCCGAACAAACTTTGATGAATATAAGAGATAAAAGCAGTCAAGGAGGGCTTTAAAGACAGCTGAGATTTAAGGAGAAATGGCCTGCTGGTCAACTTAACTGCTGAAAGAGCGGAAAAACCAAAATCTACCATCATCCCCTGCTGTACGGTACTGTTATACATCTGTCATAATTAGGGAAATTCACAATTTGATTCAGTACTTTATGGATCTCTGGTCTCACGATTTGCTACGTTGATAAAACAGCCAAAAGAAAGCAGCACTGAGAAGGTGCCATTTTCAATTACACAAAGTAGAATACCGGAGTCTTAGGAGGGCAACACTGATGTTTTGCCTAATTCATTGTTTTCTCAGCAGCAAAATACTAATAATATCAGGTAATTAGGTCTTTGATTTAGTTCCTGATATTCCAATATACCAGCATACTGCCTAAAAATGAAGGTATTCATTTGACTGTGGGAGGTGTTTATATTTACCATTATATCATGGCCACTGAGTATTCTCAGTTATGATTGGCTTCTGTGTGTGTGTGTGTGTGTGTGTGTGTGTGTGTTCGTGAGTGTGACCTGGTATCTGTCGGAGTGGTGGGCGTCTTCAGAGGACAGAGGCGAGACCACGGGAGACTCTCCCTCACGCTTGATGTGCACCGACAACAGCATCGACTAGAGAGAGAAAGAGAGAGAGAGAAAGATAGAGAGAGATAAATAAAATGTCTTCTATATGCAGATGATCTTGTTATATTATCACCTCTGGAGCAACGATTACACCTGCACCTGTCCTCGCATGACAGTTGCTGCATGGGAACAATCAATAAACATGGACAAGGCAAGAGTAATGCTGTTTCCAAAGAAATTTAGACGTAAAGAAAACAGATACAATTTCACTGTTCACTGCTTGTTACCCCTCGGCTTGGCTTGACAATAAGATCATTTGAATGATTTAACATGGCCATAAGGTCCCCTGGCTTTTTATGTTATTGTATTGGACCCAAAGCAGACAAGGCTAAATGTTGTGAGGAAAACATTTGTGTGTTGGCTGCTGAAATTTTGAAGTTGTGGCCTCAAATGGCAGCCGAAGAACAAATCAAGAATTTCACAAGCAGTCAAAATGGAAGAGCTGAAAGAAGTTGAAGTGCTAGTTTAGGTGTAAACATTGAATGAAGTTGAAGTGTCAGTTTTCCTTCCCGATACCTGAACTATCAGTATCGGCCGATACCGCATCATGGCCTGAACAAATACATGAATGTCATAGAATCTTTCTTTTATTATCTAATTTGACCTTTAGTCATGAAACATAAAGCTAGGAATAAATAACACTTCACTACACTACACTAGTGATCCTGCCACTAGTGCCTCCACTCCACTTTTACTGGTGGGACTCTCCCGTGTATCGTGTTGCCAGATAGCTGAGGCTGTGCAGTCTAAAGCATAAGAGATGAACGCAGCTGAAAGGTACGCTGCTCTGTGAGGGCTCAGTTTAAAGCAAAATCTATAATAAGACTGTAAAATGTTGGAAAGAACTGCAACAAAATTAAAGTTTTTTTTTGTGTGTTTATCAAATGAACAATGTAAAAAAAAAAAAGGTAATTAATTACATTTCTAAATGTAAAGTTTATTTCTGTCTGATACTCGATCTCTTACATAGAAAAGAAAGATTGGGGAATCTTTACCCTTGGACTATTCCATGAGTGTTATTGCCACAGATGCTGAGAGCGACACGTCATTGATGATGACTGTAACCTGCCTGACTTTGTCTATAAAATCCCTTCCACTGATTAGAGTTAATGTTTATGGGACATTAAGAGGAGTTAGGGAAGAACGAGAGACTGAAAAAAAAAAAGGAAGAAGAAGGAGATGAGGAGGAAAGAGGAGGAAGGGTAAACATCTGAAAAGGAGGAGAGTAACTGTCTGACATTATGGGACACTGCTTGTCCATAAATCTGTCTCACAACACTTTGCACACACACACGCACACACTCTCTCTCTTTCTCTCTCATAGACACACACACACACACACACACACACAAACACACACACACACACACACACACATATAAAAGGATCCCAGCTTCTAACCCACTCTGTGACAAACACAATCCAGGGAATTCCTCAAGTGAACAAGAAGCAAGCAGATAAAAAAGAGAACAGGAGCAGAAATGAGAGGCAATATCACTTTTTTTTACAAGGCTTAGTCCTGACACAGCTGTGTGTGTGTGTATGTGTGTGTGTGTGTGTGTGCTTATATTTTCATGTGTGCCTGTGCTGCTGCAGTTTTTTTTTTTTTTTACAAGGCAGCTATGAAATATTTGTATTTACAGTCGTCTCCTATTAATCAAGTGGAAAGGGGCAGAGCAGAGGCTTAAGTGCTCGACAGCAGTAATCTAATAATAATATGTGAGAAATGACCAACCTCCAGTGCTGCCACAGTAAATTGGACATTATGCATGGTGCTTTTATGCCTCTGTGTGTGTGTGTGTGTATGTGTGTGTGTGATCTTCGTTTCCTCTTTTACCCAGGTTTAAAAAGGTCAGGAATCATTTACCTGGGGGCATCTGGGAATATGCTTAAGTTTTATCATTAGAATATGACATTTAACGCTACTCTACGTTATAAATGAACATCTTCCACTGAAATTTTGGTCTTTTAAACCAACCAATTAAAGCCACATGCAAAGAGACTGGCTACAAAAAGGTTGCATTTACAGGGAGATTATGGTGAATCACTGGTTTTACACCTCACTGTGCAGAAACTTTAAGCATAAATTTGACTGTTAATATGGTAAAACAAAGTGTGTTTTGTGAATTTTCACTGTAGAAATATTTAACATTTTTATTTCAGGGATTTGTAAGTGCAAATCAATATTTAAAAATATAAAGAGAGGCAAAGAGAAAAAGGTGTATGTGTCTAAATCTCTTCACGTGCAAGTGAAATGGAATATTATCTGACATGCGTGTGTGTGTGTGTGTGTGTGTGTGTGTGTGTGTCAAAGGGTGTGTGCCTCTACAGATGTAATATGTTTCTCCTCTAACCCAATCACCTTATCTTAGCAAGTGGGCCTAACACCCCCATAAGGAGGTGCGTTGGGGTTAATCTCCGGTCCAACAGGGTTGGGTGGTGCCTGCTGGGGAGGAGACGACAACAACAGGCCCGTGTGCTTCAGACTGGCCCTCTCCATTCTCCATGCTCTGCCGCTGAATACTAAACAACGGTGGTGAGATGCGCAGTCACGGTCGGAGAGGAAGGCCAGCGCTCACCCCTCAACCCTCGCTCCGTCTGCCTTTCTCAAGTACGAGCCCACCCACAGTGCCGTGAGCACTGCTCTAAGCCTGGGTCGGCACCCAAAGGTGTGTGGGAATGAAAATGCATCCCCCCTGAATTATACTACAACTCTCATGTGGCATTCCTGTGCACGTTATATGTACTTGTTTTTTCTGCAGCGGGGCATCTGACTTTCACATGGTTTTTTAGGTAGAGATGAAAAAACAAACATGGAAATGATGAAGCACCTGATCGCTTCGGGGGTTCTTGCAGAAAACATTGACACAGGTCTTAGCAATAGAGTAGATTAATTCAACTGCATATTTTCAGCCATATTGGATTGAGTTTGTCATATGATATAACATAAAAAAATCTTCATTTTGGATTTATATATGCCGGTATAATGTCCAATACCACAAGCATGCAACACCCTCTACGTCTGCCCTCTATTCTAACCATCTTGTTATTTCCTGTCTGTCTTTTTCCTTTATCTTATCACATCTATCCACAGGCCCTGCAGCTTATTCAAGGTCCTCTGCATTGCGAGTTGGACTTTTCCATTAAACCTACTGTAGAGAACATGTTAAAGACGTGGAAAGGTCTTCTTCTCCTCTTAGAAAGGGGGTCTCCGTCTGGCAGCTAGTGATGTGTTCAGATGAGTTAGCGGAGGCAGACACTATAAGGGAATGCTACTTGATGGCATCATGAATCCGACTATTCCTACAGTTTGACGTTATCTGTCTTTTTTTTTTCTTCCCTTTTTTTTTCCCTCCTCTTCCCTCTCTGTCTGTCTGCGTCTCTCTCTTTGTCTCTCTAATTGGAACAATCACAGTACAGTGCCTCTTGGCCCGGCTGCCTGTTGGATCACAGGAGACTGGTACTTTTGTGTGCCTGTGAATGTGTGTGTGTGTGAGTGTGTGTGTGTGTGTGTGTGTGTGAGATATAAGACAGAGGCCTACAGTACAGATGATGTACCCTTAGTGCAGCAGAGAGGAACAGAGTATCAGCATCACAGCATCAGAGTAACAGCTCTGATAGATGGACACATGCACACATTTAATTTTGTATTTGCATTTCTTTTGTTGTTGTACTACATCAATGCTAATATAGACAGTTTTGATGTATGGCCATGTTACTGATCACTTGTTGGCATTTCTGCCTTTAATAAAATGTATAAAACAAACTTGTGCTTAAATTTTAAATATAAAATATAGGTGGAGATAAAAAATAGGCAGGAAGATGAACGACATGGTGATTTCCACAGGGATGAACACAAACACAGATGTCACATTACATGTTTGCAAATGAATATTATATGAGAAAATGAGGTTGATCTCACCTTAGGGGTTCCTGGAGTGGTCACTCCATCCTTGGGTGAAGGGTTCTTACTGCAATAGAGAAAAATACAGAATATATATTACATAATGCAGTTTAATCTGGTTACACTTACTGTTACCAACATACACGATCTCTGGGGTTGTGTGTTTTTGGAAGGTGTTTCCCTGATCCGTAACACCAAGAGATCTTCACACATCCATTCACATTAATCCACTGGTCCTTCGTTCTCTCTTACTCTCTGTCCATCCATCCATCCATCCATCCATCCGTCCTTCCTGAATTCAACCGACAAAACAGACTTCTGATCTTTTTTCTTCTTCTCATTTACCCAAGTGCTTTTCCTTCGTGGGTTTTATTTCTTCTTTAGTCACCTGTTTTTCTCTCTCTTTTCCCACTTTTCTCTCTGTCCCTCTTGCCTCTCTCTCTCTCTCTCTCTCTCTCTCCGACTTTCACCCGAACACAGAGATACATTTCTCTGAGCCTCTTCAAGTGTTGCGACAGGCTTGACGTTGACAAAGCGAGACAGGGTTGTCATGTTTGCTTTGAGACCCTGTTAGCACTCCAGACCTCCTTGGACACACACATAAGCGCACACACACACACACACACACACACACACACACACACACACACACACACACACACACACACACTGACAGACAGACAGACAGTGGCAAACCATGGAAAGAATGGTGCCTGAAACTGAATTGAGCGTGACCTCTAATCTGACAGCATGCCTTGGCAGACAAGGGATTTCCTTTTTCAATGGATGGATGGGTGGATAATAAGAATAAGAAGCCTTATTTATATGTCACTTATCTGAGAGAAGAATTTACAAAGTGGTGCACAAAAAGGCAGAAGAGCAAGACAAGGAAAATGTAAGAGCAGTGTGATATAATGCGTAGCTGCACAGAGTTAGGAAGGAATACATGATGAGACGAGGGACGGATGTATGAGGTGCTGTACACATTCTGGGATATAAGGTGTACTGAACGCCATTTTTCTTTACCGAACAGAAAGGGTTTAATGGAAGATAACGACTGCATGATGGGAAATGTAGGCCTTTGGAGCTTGAGACTAAATTTTTGGGATATCTTGGCCTTAAAATCAAAGCTGCGGCGCCTCAATTTTTCTGTCTTTTGTGAGTCCTTCAACTTGATGGAGGTGCGATATTGAATTGCTTGAGTACCCTTTTAAAGGCCCATTCAAACGGCAGATGGACTGCCTTTTGTTCCTAAATGGGATTTATTTCCAAGTGAAATGGAATATGTGGGCTGGGTATAATCACCAATGGGATTTGATTGAATTCTCCAAAATTTGACGGGAATGTCCAAGAGTCATGATTCGTGATTCAGAGCTGTGTTGAGAGAGGGAGCGGTGATGAACAGTTAGCCTCCTAGCTCTTCGCTACGCAGGTGGATGAAGAGGATTTTTGGAAATGTAGTTTTTGCCAGCTAAAAACCAAACACAACACCTGCTGCTGTCTGCTCTGCTCGAAGCTGCAACCTTGAAAGCTAGCAGTCAGGGGCTAACGATGATGAGCAGGGTTAGCTGGTCACCTGAATCAAATATGATGCTGTATACTTTTGTACACAACCCCAAGTGCATTAAACATATTGTACAGGAAGAGAAAAGAGAGGAATTCTGATTTGTAAATTCTCAAAATTTGATGAAATGTGAGATTTAGCATGTAGCTACTACGAGATAACACAGGATTAAAACTTAAAAAAGCATCTTTAACACGGCTTTTAACCAAAACTTGACAAAATAAATCAAACAAGTAGATACTGGCAAACTTAGTTGTTAGTTATTATTGATATTAGCTTGTTGCTGCACTGATGTGACTGACTCTTTTTTCTTCTAAGATGAATTAGTTTGTATATATTAGTATATACATGTGTTTGTATGCATTAAAAGCCTCTGTTCATGGTGAACCTGTCTGTGGAAACATGTCATTACTGTTGCTGAGCTCTGTGTATCTGTGGATGTGCATATGCATCTATTGCAACTGTGTGTACGTGTGTGTGTGTCCATGTCTTGCGTGTGTGTGTGTGTGTGTGAAAGCTGAACAGCGGGCCTCACCTCCACCAACAAAGAGAATAAACATGGGTGACACAGTCAAGCTGCCGTGTAATGCAGGTGAATCTGCCAACAGCACCCAGCCTCCCCAAACACACACAGACACACACACACATACACACCTCTCTTTACCCCTTTTCTACCTCTGTCTCTGTCATCTCTCTCTCTCTCCTTCTCCCTCTATCTCTCTTTTATTCATTACCTGGAACCTCTGCAGAGGCATCAACAATAACAGCCACCTCTACCTGCTTGTTGACGGTGTCAAACAGTGACAAGAGAAGGAGGGAGAGGGAGAGAGAGGAAGAGAGAGAGCGAGAGGACAGCAGTCGCATGCCTGCCGCGATGGGAGAAAATTGCCACAATGACAGAGGGGGTGATAGAGAGATGAAAGGAGAGTGAAAAGGGGGGAAAGAAAAGAGGTAGAAGGAGATGAAATGTGAGGTGAGAGAGAGATGTGGCGAAGGGAGGGAGAGCGGGCGACATAAAGAAAGAGATCGAGCGAGGGAAAGATGAAAGAAGACGGAAAACGAGAGAAAGAAAGAGAGGGAGTGATGGGAGAGTTGGTGTGTGTCATCGCCGCCTCTTCTCGCAGCTTCACACGTCTGTTTGCCCGGTTCTATGAATTTTTGATGGCGAGGGTTATGGGGCTGGAAATTCCAGCTGCCTGCCATTTCAAAGAAAGGAGAAGAGAGTGGAAATGAGCAGCACAACAAAGTGAAACAAACACACAGACAGACGGGAGGAAAAGGAAAGGAAGGGAGGAATGAAAGACGGGACATGAAGCAATTTAAAATGTGTTGTGGTAATAAGGTGTGTGTGTGTGTGTGTGTGTGTGTGTGTATGTGTGTGTGAACGGGGGGGGGGACAGGTGAGGCCATGTTGCTGCTTCAAACAGATCTTACAGCACATTGTCCCAGCGCGTCATACAGGACCTGCTCTGAACTGGCTTAACCTAAAGGAGGGGCAAGAACCTGTGAGATCATAAACAGGAAGTAGTCATACGGTATAGGTACAAGGGGTCAGATGATGGGTCAAGTGTACCGTTTTGAGAAAGAGGACTTTGTGTTCACTGACTAAAACATAAGGATTAAAAATGATCAAAAATTTAAAATCATGTATTTAAATTTAGTGAATGATTTTAGGGGACTGTGGGTGTAATACATCCTGTGGGCTGATGGACAACATGAAAACTGGAGACTGCAACAACAACCTCTGAAGTTAATGAATCACTGTACAGACCCACAGTTTTGTGCATTAAGACTGAAATTCCAGGTAGGATGATTAGTAATTCATAATAATTAATAAACTGTGGACATACTTACAATAAAATTACAGGTGGTTTTTCATAATAAAAGCACCAGCAAAAGCTGAGATAGGTCTCATATTCAACAGTGACTCAGTATTAAACAGCCACTAAATTGTGGGAGTTGCAAGAGAGAGAGAATTAAAAAAAATGTTTTGTTATAATTTCTGTCTAAAAACGGACTGAGTCATACTTTGGGAGGCTCGTCTTAGAATCACAGAGGACATTACAACCACTAAACGCATTGTGGTAGAAAGTAGGAGAAGAACGCAGAAGCATAGTTTCAGTTTTGGAAAATTAAAATAGTTTGGAGGCAGAATAATGTTATATTAATCTGAACTACTTTGCATTACTCACAATACTTTAGTGAGGAATCATCATAAGTTTCATTTGAGATGTTAATGTTTTTATTTATTCCAGAAAATCTAGTTATATTTTCTTGTTATAGAATCTCTGCATCCAAAACGTGTCAAAAGTACTACTGTTATTATTACTATTTAAATTACTGGAGTAGCCTCTGCGGCTGCGACACAGTTTTATCTGGACCAGTCACAGCATTAGTTTGCATCGGGTTGATCAGTAATTTAGAAGCAATACGATTCAGCGAAACTGTCCACCCTCCCCAAACCTGATTAAATCTGCATCAATCCTACACAAGTAGAAACGGACCAGGTCTGACTGACAGCTAACAGGGTCCTCCGCCCCTCCCGCCAGAGGGAGGGAGAGAGAGAGAGAGAGAGAGAGAGAGAGAGGTCTTTTGTCAGTTGGGTGGAATAGATAGAAGGAGGAATGCAGGGATGGTGCTAACCTCAAGATGCTGATTGCTTTTTGCCTTTTTGTGTTGTCTGCTAGAGAGGTGGGGGCTCCTCTGGTGGAGGCAAATTGATTATGGAGGAGGAGGAGGAGGAGGAGGAGGAAGAGGAAGAGGAGTGGGGATATGAAGAGGAGGGGTGATGGGGTATGTAGATTACTTTGCCCCCCCCTGAGCCACCTGACATGTACAGGGCATGATAGATTTCCATTTGCTCAACTCTATGTGTGAGCGTGTGATTTCCATGTCCATACGTGAGAAGCTGTGGCCCATGACCAGGCGACAGAGCTCACAGTCACAAGAGAGGACAGGTTGGCAGTTGTAATCAAACACACACACACACACACACACACACACACATGCAGGGAGAACACAGCAGAAGAGAGAGGAGAAGATATAGAAAACAAACACACCCACAGAAGGACAGATATCTATAGAGGAGAGCGGGCGGACACACATTCTTCACACCAGGATACTCAAACACGCACCTTCGTCTCCATACCCACAGCTCTTTCATTCAGCAAGTGCTGGTCGTCATTAAAGGCAGATTTACTACAAATTGGACCAAATTCCCACTGTCACTTTCAATGATGGCTGCTACCATGCAGAGTGCCAGAGAGCGGGAGAGGGAGAGGCCACGTGTGTGTGTGTGTGTGTGTGTGTGTGTGTGTGTGTGTGTGTGAGGTAAAGAAAGAGGTTGCTTTTGCGATATAACACACACAGACACACACACACTTTCTACCTTCATTTCATCTCCTGCTCCCTCAAACATGAGCAAACACACACTGAGACATTTTGTGTGTGTGTGTGTGTGTGTGTGTGTTGGATGGGTTAATGGCGAGTAGCTAAATCAGCCAGCCGTGACTTTGGCCACCGTCCCATCTCACCCGGGGGATGACGCTGTTTCCTTAAATAACTGTGTGGTTGTGCATGTATGTGGCTTTTGAGCTTCCCCGGGCTGATGGAGTCTCTCAGAGCCACAGAGGGAGGGGCAGACTACTAACCTGTATCAATCATTAAAGCGCATACACCTACACCTCACCATATCACACACTGATGGATGACTTTCTGTTCTATTCAAGCTTTAAATTCTACAATCCACTGACTTGTTTTTTTTTCCCCAGAGCTGTCAGCCACATCTCATGGTCTTCGTCAACAGATATAGCCAGCTATAGTTAGTTAGTCGTAGTTAACCATTGCCGTGACGACTGAGCAAACTCTCTTCGCTGATGAAGGCCATGAGATGTGGCTGAAAGCTGTAAGTGGGAATTTTCAGACATATATGTTATTTTTCAGTTCTGTTCTTCATCTCATTTAGTTCTTTACATTTGCTTTTCTGTAAACACACTCTGATTCCTTCATCCATCCTTTTTCCTTCTTGTTCATCTTGATTCTTCAAGATTTTTCACGATTCTTTTGATTGGTTTTTGAGTTCAGGCTCGCAGGCAGATTCTTAACAATCTGTAGCTTTCTCCATTATTGATATAAGCTTCCTTCCTAACTGTCTACCTGTCTCTACATACATCCTTTCCTCCCCACAAAGCCAAGAACAATTATACATGTTGACCCATTCACTCTGAGGACAATGGGTTTATCCCAAGTCAGTGCTGTGGTTTGAGGGGGGGGTAACAGCTTATAGAAACAAGGTCAAGTCAGGTAATGATGAAGTGACAGGATCAGGTTAGAAGAAGATAGTTTGATGGACAGTTGTGTTGAGGAGAAAATGAGAAGAGTGAGGACAAGAGTGAAGTGTATAAAAAGAAAGGAGAGGGAAAAGAAAAGATAAGAAAGAAGAGGGAGGATTAGGGACAAGATACGAAGATGGAGCGATGGGAAAACAAGAAGGCAGGAAAGGAAATAAGGAGGACAGGAGGAAGGGGTACAGTCGGTGTAAACGGGGGGGGGGGGGGGGGGGGGGGGGGGGTGAAGTGTGATTTCCACGTGGGGTGACGCTATCTGTTGCCCTGTTCCTCCAGGTTAATGGGGACTATCATAAAGCTGGGCCGCTTAGGTGGACACCGGGTCACGCACCAACACACCCACACACACACACACAGGCCACACGTGCATGTACACAAACACACGCACACACAGCCAGACGCGCGGTCAAGGTGAAATATGGATCCTAATGGTTGTGTCCCATCGTTAAAAGGGCTTGCAGTTGATTTATCCACCGTAAAACAGCTCGTGCAACTGCCACGAGGAGAAGAAGGGGGGCGGCAGTGAACCTCAGGTCACAGGTTTGAATCCGAATCCCTGTAGGAAACACTTAGCGCTACATTGATGGCATGCCTCTGCCTTTTATGCAGATTTATGGCACCAAAATCTCTGCTCAGGAAAAATATGGGTCACTGAGTCTGACATAAAAGCTGAGTTAAAGCTCAGCCTTCACTGTACGCCTGAAAAATATTCACCTTTATGAGTTCTGAAAGTCCTGTTTACCTTTCCTGCTACATTAGCATCCCCATAATGTCACCTGAGTCCAGCAAATTAATGATGACATATGCTTAAATAATATATCAGACTTTTTTGACATTCAGTAAAGAAATACCTCAATATACATACTTTGTTTTCTGTGCATAAGCAAAGGTATGCACAGTTGTGTTTAGCTTAGCTTAGCAGGAAAAACAAGCTAGCCTCTTTCAGAAGACATTTAACCACCACAAAACTACTTACATATTTTATCTGGGCAGCTTTCTCGACTAGTTAGCTCAGTCTCTGGTCAGTCGTGACTGTAAACTGTGTGTGAGAGTGTGGGAGAGACTGAGGGGAGATGTGTTTAAGGCCTACCTGAGGCATATGCTAGCTAGCCTCTCTATCTCTGTCTCCATGTGTTCCTGTAGCTCTCCGGGCCTGAGCAGCACCTGGCAGATGGGACAGACTGGAGCCTGGCTGTCGTACAGGGACATCTTCTTTTTACCTGGAGACAAGACAAGGAGAGAAACATCAGCATGTGCATGCATATTTGCACTGTGTCTAAACAGGGCGTCAGAACGAGTCTCAGATGAATATTTCCTGCACAGAGGCTTCAACACGTAGTTTCACCAAGACAAACCAAATGTGTCTGTCTGTGTTTGAGGTCGTGTTTTTCATGCAACACACTGTCTTTTTACTTTTTGTTTAAACATCAAGAAAATAAGGTTCAAGTTTCAGCATCAAGGTCACTCAAGTAAACTCGCTGTGTATTCTTTCAAGCACGGAGGCTTGAAATGTGAAACACACATTAAGTGCATGTGCAGTATAATCTTGCACTGCACACCCACACACCCACACACACACACACACAAAGAGGGGAATAAAGTGGTGTACGGTCTCCATTGTGTAATGTTTGTCCCAGGTCAAAGCAGATTTAAAGAATCGTCAGCCAGATGAGATAATGCTGTATAGAGTCTGCCAACACTACCTCACTTCATTGTCCTTGATCAGCAGGGCACAGGGTGGGGCCCACCTGTACGTGTGTGTCTGTGTGTCATTGTGTTTCTTGGGGTGGTGGGTGGGGGGGGTGGGTTATGTGTGGACGGTGTACGCATTGTTAAGTGTGAGTTTTAGCAAAACAGCCTTTCGTGTCTGTGTGTGCGTTAAGTGTGTGTATCGTGCTGTACATGCTACTTCTTCAGGTTTATCTTTGCGTCTGCTTCGGCTAAAAATATCATCCATTGAAAGTGTCTCAGAGCTTAATGTTGGAGGACACTTCCTGAATTTCCTGTATTTAGCCAATCAAATGGGCTTTTTTTAAGGCACGAACAATAGGCTCCACCTCAGCCAGGATATCCTGTTTAGACTGCTTGTCACCACGGCAACAAGAGGACCAGGTAGGGGGGACTCCCTATCTGTCTTGTCTTTGGTGTTTCTCTCTTTTACGCACGCATGCACGCACACGCACGCACACACACACGCACACACACACACACACACATATACATGCACATGCACACACGGCCCTCTGGGGACATGTATCCTTGCTCACATATTGGTCTGTCAGAACAGTTTCCTGCAAGAGGACTCATCAAGAGACAACTAGTGGGCAACACACACACACACACACACATACACCTACAAACACACACACACCTACGAACACACACACACACACAAAATGCCACACACGTCACCTCCCTCCCTCCCTCTCTTTCTCCGAGCGTGTGTGCGCATACCAGCCTCCCATTTCTCCTGCACCGCTACTTAACAGAGCCCACAGCACTGGACACGTTAAGTGACTTTGAAAAATAGGTAATCGATTACTCTCTATCTCTCTCTCTCTGCCCCTCTTTCTCTACCTCCTTTTTTTTCTTTTTCCACACCTATCCCTCTCACACTCGCTTTCTCTCCAGCCTCATCCATTTCTAATTTTCTGCTCCCTACCACCCATTTATTTGTTTCATTTCTTTCTCCTCCTCTTTCATCTACCTCCCATCTCTTCTTTCATTATTTCATTGTTCGCCTTCTTTCTTTCTTTCTTTCCATCCCCTCATCTCTCTCTTGATCTATGTTCATCTCCTTTCTCTCCTTCTCTTCTTCTCTGCCTTATTGTCTCCTCCCTTTGGTAAATTTCCCCTTCTCTCCTTGTTTCTCCATCTCTCTCCCCCCCCCCCCCAACCTCTCCTCTCTCCTTCTCCCCTTTATTGCTTTGACAAGATAATTTGAGTCATGCTGAAGCTGTCACCATCCGCCACAGCAAACAAAGAGAGATCCAATCCCTGTCTGCTGCTGATGGGGCTCTTTCTATTCCACAGGCAAACACACACCTGGAGGACATGGACACACACACACACACACACACACACACACACACACACACACACACACAGAGGCATGTATACAAACATGCCTACGCTTGATTATTTTTAGGCTTTTGTAATATCACTTTTTTGCACACTTACTTTTTTTTTTTTTTGCTTTTCAATGTGCAGTGATTTCCTTCTGAATTGTGGAATTTTCCGTATGGATGCACGACTTTTATTTGTACTGGCAACAGATTGATGATAACAAAATGTAAATGCATGGGTGGGACAAAAGAATGGCAACAGGAAAGACTTGTATCAGAGCTGTGTATTCTGTGAGATGATTTAAACTCAGCTGTCTGACACATACTGTACACATACGAATTATACCGACTCTGATGTGATGGAACACATGGAAAATCAACATCCATGTAAAGGAATAGAATAGAAAATATATATTTTTTAATTGATAAATAATAATTATTTGATCATTTATCTATTATAGATGATAAGGCTCCTGCAGTGATTAAAAACCCTTTGATTTATTTACAGTTATAACAGTATTTATCCAGCATGTGAAGCGTTCTAACAAATTAAGTAGCTGCTCCAAATCAAGTCAAGTAAATTAAAAGTCTGATGTCAACTTTTACTTTTAATTTCTGCCTTAAATTCGTCTTTTCTCTCATCCCTTTTATTTTCCGTCCTTCTCTTCTGTCCATGTTCCTGTCTCACGTTTGTGCTGTCACTCTTTCTCATCCTTCGTTCTTCCCTTCTGTCCCTCTATTTTTCCCTCTCTTTGTCAAACGCTCCCTGAGGGAAGTGAGTGATGTGGAGAGGTGGACGAACAGATAAATCCAGGGGAGGAGGAGAGAGAAGAAGAAGAGGAGGAGAGGGGAAAGGGGGAAAAGGGTGTGAGTGTGTGTGTGTGTGTGTGTGTGTGGGTGGGGGGGTGTTGATGTGATGTCGCACACCGGGGCTTGTCAGCGCCTTAAAGATGATTAATGTTGGGGCAACACACACACACACACACACACACTCCCCACATGTCCTGCTCTGGACCTCACACACACACACACACACACACACACTCCCCACATGTCCTGCTCTGGACCTCACACACACACACACACACACACACACACACACACCCCGCGGCACAACAAGGGTGCGTTTAATCTCGGGGAGCAGAGGGAAGGCACCGGAGTCGGAGAAGGTGGGGGACGAGGATGGAGGTGAGGAGGGGGCTGGACAATAACAAGGAAATAGGACTGACAGGACTTTTTAGTGCTGAGATCCCTCAGTGAATGCCAGCTGGCGGAGCGAACGAGGGATGGATGGATGCACGGGCGGAGGAGAGGAGAGAGGAGGTGTGCATCTCTCTGACAGCCATGATGGAGTGTCGGCCTGATCCCCCCTAATGTGCCAAGATGGATTGTCTCATCTCTCTTTCTCTGACTTTCTTTCCCTTCTCTCTCCCTCCATCCGTCTTTCTACCTCTCTCTCTCTCTCTCTCACTCCCTCCATCTCCAGTTTTCCTGATGTCCCCCTTTTGCTTCTCTCTCCAGACCCTGTCTCTCTCTCTCTCTCTCTCTCTCTAGTTAACCCGACCCTCTCTCTCTCTTCCTCGTCACCAACTTCCCCCCTTTTCTCTGTCACTTGATCCAGTTAATGGCGCTCACTGGCTTTTTTTTTGTTCATGTCACAGAACAGTATGTCACCCAGCTGGCAGGAAGCATATCCACTGACTTTTTGCATCTCCTGTCTGATTTATTTACCGGCTGCTGAGGCGCTGACACGTACAGCTCGCTGGTCTCAACTCAACCCGCAGCGACACTCGTTGCTGTACAGTAGGTGTGTGGATTTGTCCGGGGGAATTCATATGAGAGTCACAAAAGTCTCTGATAAATCCTCTACTTGACACGCTGCTGAAAAACTTAAATAAACTTTAGAAAAAGAAGCTGAATGGGAGCCAACAAAAAAAAAAAAAAGAAGAAGCAGGAAGTGGGAAATGTTTTTAATATGAAGTGTCTGAATAATTAATGATGAAGGTGTAAGCCACTAAAGAGCCACTAAATATCAGCTTTTGTTATAGTAATATAATAGAAGCTACAGGGTTTGTAGTTTCCATAATTATCATTGACTGACTGTCTATATTATTGATTTTTATTGTTTATTAATTTACTTATTCATGTGCTCACTTGCATTTTAACTAATTAATTGTGTATTAATTTTCTCCTTGAATGAATGAAACGGTCATAAAGCATTATCACATATTTTATCTTTTAAATAGGCTACAAGAACAAATATGAATAAGTTTTGTTCACTTTTGTTTTGTCATTGACAACAAGCAGCTGTCAGACTCCAATATAAGATATACTGTATAAATAGACTTATTTTGGATTTGAGAGGAAAAATCACAGATATATAAAAACTGATATCAATCCAATATATTTAGATGTGTTTTTGCAGGTTCTCCGCAGCAGAAGTAATGAGTCATTTTCTGTAGCAGACCTGAAAATATCAGTTGAAGTATTTGGCTAATGAAGCAATGAAAGTGTGTTTTCTGAGCTGTTACAGAAGACCTGAGGTCTCCAGCAGCCCAAACACAGAATTCGGGTTAAATGTGCTCTATAAATAAATCTAATTATCTAATAATAAATAAAAACTAGACAGGCAATTATAGACACCAGATGGTGAGGAGGATAGAGCTAGATCATACGGAAGAGTGGAGAGCAAAGAGGAGGAATCTTCCTTCCCTTGAGGAATGTTTTCACTTTCACCCTTACTCTCATCCTTATATTCTTTCCTTGCTTCCTTCCTCCTTCTTTCCTTCCTTCCTTTACGTCCTGACTTTCTCTCTCTGCTTTGGCTTTTCTCTCTTCATACTTCTTACCTTTTCTGTTTATCATCCTTCTTTCCTTCCTTCTGTCCTTCTTTGTGCAACTATAACTGAATGATTGATTGACTGACGTGCATCATCATACAGCAAGTTTAATCTGTATTAACACTTGCAGTATCCTTCATGTTCCTGTATTCTCTCTCTCCCTGTGTCTCTCAGTGTCTCTCTCCCCCTCTCCCTGTGTTCCTTTGGTCCAGATGAAGTGGGAATCAATAGATGCTAGATAGCGCAGGCTCCCAGTCACAGACTACAATGAGCTGAGGTAAAAGGCCACCTCCAGAGAGGACAGGGATTGTCAGC